CAGTTGATATTGGATATTTAATTGTGCATGATCTTGCTCTGCTTATTTTTATATTTATATTACCTTTTTACACTGAAATAACCTAGCGCTCACTGATTTTTTAACAAAATTAGAAATTTAAACGCAACTAAACTAAACACAAACTCAACAGTGTAATCTCAAAATGAATATCCACTTTTTAAAACGTTCAAAATTATGTTGTGATGCTAAAATTCACTTGTTTTGTTTATTTCTTTTTAGAAATTGTGTTCAAATTTTATATGTTTGAAATAGAACAGTACAGAATTTTAAGTGCCAGACATGGCATGAAAATAATTAATCAGCTTATTGGTATAAGACAGAATTTTACTCACTGCCATGTCGTTTAGGGCAATTTAGGGAAATAATATTTTGTACATGTGACCACAAAAAAATTAAAAGTAAGCAAAATGTAGTTTAAAAGATTTTTTGATTTTCTTTTAGCTTCCAATAGGTGTGTAGAATTGTCATCTATGGATAAACACAGGTAACCACATTTAAATCATTGCACCTAGCATCATTAATGTTACACCATCATCTCTCTCCCGTCTCTTCGGGACAACTGACTTATCTTAGATGGAGGAACACTTACAGCAGGCAGCAGGAAGTTCATCAGTGCCGTCACCACAGTCATCAGTTTCATCACACACCCATCTCGATGTGATACACTTTCCATTGCCACACTGATACTGCCGTGGTTCACAAGTCAAAACACCTGTCAGATGGAGACATAATTGATGCTTCACATAAGTGACACATTATCCAGCACCTTAAGCATGTTATTTTAGTCATTTGAGGTCATAGAGAAAACGAGCTAAAATACTAGAGGGCGAGAATCACTTTTGCTTTTCACCTTATAATCTTCCTTAGCCCTCACATCTAAGCATGTACTGTACACAATCTAGTGCCAACACTGGTAACTGCGTTATGTATGATTTGCCAGTAAGGGGAGGTCTTCTAGATCTTAATTAAGGAGGAAGCTTGCTCTGAGAAACACGACACCAACAAACTTAAAGACAGCTCCACCACCTTTTTTTAAAATGATGACACAAGTCATACACAAACAGAAAGAAACATGCTCTTGACACTGGCTGGATGCAACAATGGCTGACTTTTAGTTAAAGTAGTAAACCTTTAAATTGATAATCAAACATAGATATCAAACGACATTCTCCGTAACCACCCAGTGTTACTCAAGTAGAAGTGGAAGAGTCATGTGACGTTCATTAGTTACTATTCATAGTTGTCAGGGAAATGATGTGTTGATAATGGCCTTTTGATGGCATTAGCCCACAGCTCAATGGATCTGGGTCGCCTAATTCGGAAAACAAACGTGGAGGTCGCAAAAGAATTCAATCACTGATTTAAATTCATAATTGTGACAACAAAGACTTTGCCAACAAAGTAGTTAAATCACTTTAGAATAACATTAAGTGTCTTATTACTTATGTAAGAAAAAACACACATTAAATAAACAATTCATATATTAATATAGCTTACATTATTAGATAAATATTTTAAGTTTAAAATTAATCGTCTCAAAGTTCATTAGCCTTACCATAGGCTGTTGCCAAGCAATGTGGCAACTTCACAAATATAGAAAAATATTAACTTTATAGCAACCATTTTACAACACCTTCCAACTTGGCTCATCCAATCAGGATTCAGAGTTGGATCATTCTATCTTATAATGGAAATGTGGACATAAAATGATTAATGATTACACAAATGTAACATTTAGACAGGTCTTATCAGTATTTAAAGACAAACCTTCCATTGATAAAAAAAAACGTTTATGACCTTAGGTTGACATCATACATCTCTTCAAAGTATGGCTGGGCGTTGGTTTCTGGTTTCATCGATTAATTCGAATTTAATGTTTTGCCATGTCTTTTTTTTAAGAATCAACGAATAAAAGTTTCAAATAAAAAATATTAGCAAACATAAAAAAGGAAAAAAATATTGATGACAGCACACCTGATGTATGTTTGATATTTAATTTTTGTATTATAGTGACAGGCTGAGAGGTGGTTATTTTCTTTGTTTTTACAAAACCTTTACTGATAGCCTATACTGGTGTTATACTAGTCTACTAGGTATACTAGTTTTTAATTTTCTTGAGTTTTTGAGTTTACCTACATTTTGTCTAAGAAATATTTAGCACTCTTCTTATTTTAAATTATCTCTGAAAATATACGATACATTTAAGACAGGTCTATATATATA